TCCTAGGAAAATTACAGTCTTTTTCCATAGTGGGGACCAAAGCAACTTGCATTATTCTCTCCTCCTTTTATCTGCATGACAACCCTGTGAGGTTGGTTAGGATGAAAATATGTGACTGGTCCAAAATCACGCAGTCAGCTTCCACTGCAAGATGGGGATCTGAACCTGGGTCTTGCAGACCCTACTTTGAAGCTCTAACTGCTGCACCTCACTGTCTTTCATAGGGTGACTGCTGATGAACAGTAGCAAACAGCTGGGTCTAGCTGAGTCTTGCAAATCAGGGGGCATCTGGCAACCCTAGACTGCTGCCAGGCCTAGGGCTCCCAGTTTCCAAGTGGGACCTGGAGACCCCCCAGAATTACAGCTGAACTCCAGACCAGAGAGATCTGTCTCCCTGGAGAAAATGGTTGCTGTGGAGGGTGGACTCTGTGGCATTATACCCAGCTGAGGCCTTTCCCTTCCCCAAACCCAGCCCTCCTCCTTAGAGAACTCCCCAGCCTAGTACTGGCAACCCTTGTCAGGCCAGGCTCACTCAGAGGCCAAAAGAGGCCTGGAAAGGGCCCTCCCTCTACCTTTTACCAACAGAGCCAGTTAGAAGCCCCCCAAAAAAAATTCTAATCTCTCGCCATTGATGCCTGGAGTTAGATCACTGCAGAGGCCATTTCAAAAGGTATTGGGGGGAATTCAAACACCCCTGAAGGGGGTTTATTTTGTTTTTTACTTTTTGGATTTTTCTGCAGGACCAGGAAGGCCCTTGAGTATATAGGAAAAGCAGTTGAGGGAGAGTGAGCCCTGTGGTGGCAGAAATAAGTATCTGCATGAGGGGAAAGTCTGGGAAATAGTATATAGACAAGAAACGGGACCCACGATACACGCAGGGGGGAGTATTTCCTGCAGCTCCCGGGTGACTGGCCTGCTGAAGCAGCAGGAGCTCTGCATGGAGGAGAAGGTGGCAGCAGCCACAGGTGAGCCCAGCAGGCAGTCCGCCAGCCCCACCAAGGCTCCCCCCCCCGCCAACAGCAGCAACAGCACCAAGGCCTCCCTCCCTGCCAAGAGCAGCAACAGTGGCAAGCCCTGCAAAGCTCCTAGCTGCTGGGCCTGCCAGGCTTCTCCCCCCTCCCGCTGACAGAAGCAACAGCCGTGGCTCCCAGCCACCGTCCTGCCAAGGCTTCTCTCCACCACTACCCACCAGCAGCAACAGCCGTGAGTCCTGCATGGCTCTGCCACAGTTCCCAGTGGTAAGTGTATTCTCTGTGCATGCACAGGGAATGCTCTTTTACTTTGGGGGGAATTGAAGTATGCCCCAAGTGTGCAGGAAAATCTGTTTACCCTCCATGTGCTCCCGATGTGTGGATTTAGATATCCGCACAGAGGGGGCATCTTGGCTATTAGATATATAGATAACCCAGGCATAACCAGATGGGCATAACTTCACCAGATCCCTAGGGAGCAATTTGGATGATTGCCCAAGACCACATCACCAGTTTCAGCTAACTCCAGCTAGAAACTCTCATCTCTCTGTCTCCAGTTCTTCAAAACTGCACAATCTTCTGTCTTACATAATACCTGCCCCTCCCCTCAGCTATAGAGATACCACCTTTGCCAAGCACTTAGGAATATCTCATTCATGGACGGATTCCCTCCAGCAATCGAGAGACTATCTCCTAACTATTAGCAGCCACTTGTGAATCATCAGCCAACCAATTACTCTGAACTTATGATCTTGGGCAACTGTTCTCATCAGAGGAAACTGCTTTTGGGGGTTGGGGAGATTGTTTGTTGGTTGAATTTTCCAAAGACCATTTTCAGAGACTATCTTCATCTGGCTTCTTTCCCTCTCTAGCCTGGTATATTTATCAATACGTTCGTATTCTTCAATACAGTAGACCCCCAGAAAGAAGCAGGCCTTTTTTCTGGATTTTTCTTGATAATTTGGTCCTGGAAGAAGAAACCAGGGATGCAGCCTGTCGTTTTTTAAAGGTAAATAGCCATACAAGTTGCTTTCAGGAATTTTACTGTTTTTTACTGAATTTTACAAGTTGCTTACAGGAATTTTATTTCCCTGTTTCTGTCTGATTTTCAGTAGTATAGTTTCCTGGTGCTACAAACTGACAGACGATGTCACTACCTGTATAAACAATAAACAACCACTTCCACCAATGCCATCAATTTTTACATGTAACAGATATGCTGAAATGGGTTTTACTGAGCTGCACCTTGAACAAACCAACAGTTTCAGCTCACGCGGGTCTTCTCCCATACATAGCAGTGCAGAAGATGTGGTAAAATGGCTGTCACCTATTTATATCTCAAATGTCATAGATTCCTACCTAAAGGCTCACTTGGGAAATGTATTTTTCCATTTTCCTCCCTGTTAGAAAGGTGTCTAAGGTAGCCCCTGAGTGCTGGCAGAGTGCAATTTATTCATTACTTTTCTAAAGATGTAAATTTTACACCTTGGGTAAAAATAGTCAAGGTTATCTGTGAAGTAATACCTTCACATGGGCGGGGGTATCATCCTGATTGGGACTGGCATGCCTTTTCCAGTTCCAGGAAGATTTTCTTGTGCTTAGATTTGGCCACAGTTTGGTTATTAATTTGAGAGTATAGTGACTGTTGTGTGGATTCAGTCTGAAGATTAGTCTGTGTGTTAACCAATGTTCCCTCTAAGCTGTGGAGTCTTGTGAGCAAAAAGTCTACTTTGTGAGCTACTGGGATTAAAGTTGTGAGCAAGTAATTTGGCCACTGTATAAATCAGTTTTCTCTGGGAAGATTTTCTTGTGCTTAAGTTTGGCCACAGTTTGGTTATTGATTTGAGAGTATATAGTGAGTGTTGTGTGGATTCAGTCTGAAGATTAGTCTATGTGTTAACCACATATGTTCTAGTGGTTTCCTTGAAGTCACTTCTACCAATACACTGTAACATCTCACTCCAGCTACCATGTGACACCCCACTCTGTCATGCGTAGAGTTCCCTCGCTAGCCTCCAAACTTTGGACAGGATATCTTTTGCTGGCAAGGGAACTTGCTGCATGACGAAGAGTCATGTTGTAACCACAGCAAGACTGGGAAGTGGAAATTCACAATGGGGAAGTGACCAGAAATGAATGTGTGGGCCAGCCCCACACATAATTTACACTCAAAAAAAAGCCTCTGTTCTCAGAAAGCAATTGGCACAGAAATATTTTGAATTATTCTTCTGTGAAATTCAAAACCATGAATCTTAACTGGTCTAGTTATTAAGCATTTCACTGTACCTCTTCTGCGCTCATCTGCACATACCCATGCACCATCTTTCCGCATGGCCCATTAGTACAGGAGTTGAATAAACCAGAATTTTCCCTGTGCTAAAACTGCGCAAGTATGTTGTGCAAGGTGTAGAGCATGAACTGGTTATGCAGTCATCGTCCCCATCAATGCCCCCTCTAAGCTGTGGAGTCTTGAGAGCAAAAGTTCTACTTGGTGAGCTACTGGCCTTAAAGTTGTGAGCGAGCGATTTGGCTACTGCATAAACTAGTTGGCTCCAGAGCCACCCTTCCTGAGCTAAGACAAAAAGGTGTGAGCCGGAGGCTAAAAGACTGTGAGCGAGCTCACGCTCACTCAGCTTAGAGGGAACACTGGTCCCCATGTGTAGAGTTCATGACTGGGGCAGAAGAAGGAACAGCATAACAGAAGCGGTCGGTACTGGATCCACACCAACCCAATCCCTGTCAACGTACTTTGGGCATACTCCATATGAACAGCACTCTGGGTATGTAACACTACATAGAGCATGTGGGTCTTTCTTCATCCTGATGAGCATGTGTTCTATTCTTTGTTTATCCTAAGCTCTTGAAACTTTTCTGGGAAATGTTTTTCCCATTTGTATTGTACACTATTGGCATTGTCGTGATGATGTCCTTTCAACTATTGAAGCATACATTTGCTTTTGTTCCTTTAAAAGACTGACGCAACCATGAGGATCAAGCTGGACAAAAGCACCATCCAGAATGTTGTACACATATGGAGCAACATTCCATCAGTTAACAGGTAAAATGGGCTGTTTCGCAGGACTGTTCTGGGGAAAGTATAATCTTCCCTTTTGAGCCCCCTTGGAGGCTCTTTTATATAAATCAAAGGGAGACTCCAGGAAGACAGTGCTGAGCTGAGTGTCTCCCACTCAGCAATAATCCCCTGTAGTTTCCCCTGGCCGCTGTGGATGCCAGTTCAGAGTTGTGGCCACAGGGCTTCCAGGCCCTGGGTTTCCCCCCAGTTTCCCTTTTCTGTTGGCCTGCAGTGGCCATTTCCTCTCTCATGCCGCAGGGCAGTCTTTGAAGACAATTTAAGTCAATGGGCTTAGAAGGGCATAATTCTGTTTAGGATCGCACTGTCAAGAGTGATCAGTCAGTGGATTCACAATATTTGCTTTATTAAGAACTTGTATTTATTATGTGTAATATGCACACTGACTAGGAAATGTGATGGGGCTATAAAGAGTGTGCATAGCCAATATTTTAAAATACTCTTCTGAAAAGGCTCTATGTCATTAACACCTGCCGCATAAGTGACTGAGCAATGGGTGAATTCTTTCCCAGCATGGAAATGATCTTATTGGTACTGAACACAAAAACTCCCCATAGCCTATAGTGCAATGTGCTTACCATGAAATTGTGCTATCAAGCTGAAGACTGTGCTGGTCCAAAGCAGTCAGAGTGGATACAAGCTGTGCATCTCCAGTCTCATTTTTCCATTGGCTTCTTCACTTGCTCTCCTTTTCCACGTCTTGTAGAAAGCAAGGCCCCAAGTTTTCCTTGCATCGAGTTAGAGAGAAGGATCCAGAGCTTTTCCCATGGTTTTCCTGTGCTTTCTCACACTGCTTTAGCAAATAAGCTATTATATAGTGTTCCTTAGGGAGGGAAGGCAGCATGGTGTAGCCCGATCTCATCACATCTCAGAGGCTCAGCAGAGTCGGAATTTAGAAGGGAGACCACCAAGGAAGACCCTGCAAAGGAAGGCAATGGCAAACCACCCCTGCTTCTCACTTGCCTTGAAAGCCCCTTGCTGGGGTCGCCATACGTCAGCTGTGACTTGATGGCACTTTACACACACACACACACACACACAGAGTCTTCATTCACTACAATCCATGCTTAATTCCTCACCAAAAGTACTTTGAACTGTAGCCTATGCTTACAGCAAGATCTATTCATGAAGTGCATCACCATGTCTTTTTTCATAAACTCTTCCAAGAACTGAACTCATTGATTAATGCTTTCCATTACATGTATGTCAATATTAACTTGCATCAGAACCAACACTCAGATGTGTACATTTTTATTAATAATTGTAGGACAGACTTTTAAAATCATTTACATTTCTGGTACCTGAAACCATAAACGTACCTTTGTGGGGATGCATCCAAAATGTCTTGTTTGAGGGTCTTACTTTTGCTTCACTGCAATCCTAAACTCAACAGTGTAACAGAGTTAAGGGTTCTATTGGAATACTGAGAACACCTTTTCTATGAATGCTTGATTTCTGAGTTCTGGCTAAGGCCATGAAAAGAAATGGGAAACAGCATTGTGAAAGTGAATCTGATCTGTCTGGTTTTTCAGTCACTTTAGAGAACTGGGAGATACAAAGGGCAATTTTATTTTATTTTTAAAAATGCCCTTAGGCCTTTTTTGGTTAGGGGGTCTGACTACAGAAAGGACAGTGCATACATTTCAGGTTGCCAACTGCATGGAGGAAAAGAGCCCTGTCCCTTTAACAGAGACTTGAACGTGTGGGGTCCAATCTGCATTGGTATTTCCCACCGTTGTGCAGATGATCTCACATCGTCTCACAAATTTCTGTCTGCATTTCATGCCACATCCACTCTCCTCTTGTTTCATCTCAGCATCGACTGTCCGCATAATTTTATTGCCATTTAGTGGTGACTCCAGGGTCTCACCGCCTTATCTGAATGTGGTTTTAAGGTGGTACAACTGCTCCTTCCCACCGTCGAGCCGCTGTGAGCAAAAAGCAGACAACTTGAGCTGAATCCCCCCCCATCTTTTCTATGGAGATATGCAAATTGTCACAAAGGACACAAGTTAGCTGAAAATCCAGTTGTCTGCATTTGAAAGCAGCCAGGGAACATTTTTCTGCAATCATAGGGGGGGGGGGGTTGGAAGCACACCCACCCCCTGAACCATTTGTTATTTCCTGGGGCAGTCTCCAGAACACCCTGCCTGGCGACTGCTGGGTGTTTTGTGTTTTTTACCCAGCTCGTCCTGTCTTTCCTGCCCCCCCTTTACTTTCGGGGGGAGGGGGTCGCAGGTATCGTTTCCTCCCTGCAGCGCAGTGCCCTGCCAGCACCCCTGGGAGGCTGCTCCCCCCCCCTCATGCTCTCCCTAAACAACTTGCGTCCTGATGCAGACAGAGGAGAGCTTTATACTGAGCCAAATGGGAAGCTGGTGCCACAGCAGCATGGAACAGCTTTACATAGCAAATGCAGATTGGGTTTGGGAATGGGCAGCCTCTGTTAAAAGAATAGGACAAAATTTTTTTTGTTGTTTAGGCAGTCAGCAATCTTCCTTAATATATGGACATCACTTTATTTGTGTGTACTTGATGATTGAATATGTGAATCAGGTCCACTAAAAACTTGTGCGGAGCCCATCGCTGTAAGCCCGTTCACACACAGCGGGCATCGGTGGGGGTTTTTTTAACTCAGTTTGCACATGCGCATAGGCAGTCATCCACAGAATGGCGATCTTCGCGCATGCGCAAAACACCCTGTTCCGAAAAGCATGCCCTGAAGAGAGGACGTACCTTTAAAGTTTAAAGACCAAACTGGCCACCCTGAGGTCCCGGACTCCTCTAACACCTTAAACTAAGGACCTTTTTATTTTCTTTTTTAAACAAACAGCTCTCCCTCCTCTGTGAGGGCAGATAAGAGAACATAAGAGAACATAAGAGACGCCAATGTTGGATCAGGCCAAAGGCCCATCCAGTCCAACACTCTGTGTCACACAGTGGCCAGAAATACCAGTGCCATCAGGAGGTCCAGCAGTGGGGCCAGGACATTAGAAGCCCTCCCACTGTTGACCCCCCCCCCAAGCACCAAGAAGACAGAGCATCACTTGCCCCAGAGCCCCTAGCTATACCTTGTGGCTAATAGCCACTGATGGACCTCTGCTCCATATGCTTATCTAATTCCCTTTTGAAGCCGTCCATGCTTGTAGCCGCCACCACTTCCTGTGGCAGTGAATTCCAAGTGTTAATCACTCTTTGGGTGAAGAAGTACTTCCTTTTATCCGTTCTAACCCGACCGCTCAGCAATTTCATGGAGTGCCCACGGGTTCTTGTATTGTGAGAAAGGGAGAAAAGTACCTCTTTCTCTACCTGCTCTTTCCCATGCATAATCTTATAAACCTCGATCATGTCACCCCTCAGTCGTCTTTTCTCCAAGCTAAAGAGCCCTAAGCGCTTTAACCTTTCCTCATAGGGAAAGTGTTCCAACCCTTTTATCATTCGAGTTGCCCTTTTCTGCACTTTTTCCAAAGCTATAATATCCTTTTTAAGGTGTGGTGACCAGAACTGCACACAGTATTCCAAATGAGGTCTCACCATTGATTTATATAGGGGCATTATGATATTGGCTGATCTGTTTTCAATACCCTTCCTAATAATCCCCAGCATAGCATTGGCCTTCTTTATTGCAGTCACACACTGTCTCGACATTTTCAGTGAGTTATCTACTACAACTCCAAGATCTCTCTCTTGATCTGTCTCTGCCAGTTCAGACCCCATCAATGTGTATTTATATTTAGGATTTTTGGCTCCAATGTGCATCACCTTGCACTTGGCCACATTGAACCCCATTTGCCATGTTGATGCCCACTTGCCCATCCTTGACAGATCCCTTTGGAGTGCCTCACAATCCTCACTGGTTTTCACCACCCTGAACAACTTCGTATCATCCGCAAATTTAGCCACTTCACTGCTTACTCCCAACTCCAAATCATTAATGAACAAGTTAAAAAGCAGTGGATCGAGTACTGACCCCTGCAGTACCCCACTGCTTACCCCCCTCCACTGAGAAAATTGCCCATTTATACTCACTCTGTTTTCTATTAATTAGCCAGTTTTTGATCCATAAAAGGACTTGTCCTTTTATCCCATAATTTTTGAGCTTACTTAGGAGCCTTTGATGAGGAACTTTATCAAAAGCTTTCTGGAAGTCAAGGTAAACAATATCTATTGGATCCCCCTTGTCCACATGTTTGTTCACCCCATCAAAGAACACTAACAGGTTAGTGAGACAAGATCTTCCCTTACAGAATAGGTTTTGTCCATCTATGTGCCTACTAATTCTTTCCTTAATAATGGTTTCCACCAATTTACCAGGTATCAGCGTCAGACTGACCGGCCTGTAATTTCCCGGATCGCCTCTGGAACCCTTTTTAAAGATGGGAGTGACATTAGCTACCTTCCAGTCCTCAGGCATGGAGGCAGATTTTAAGTGGCTTGATATTGCCAGCCTCTGTGTCCCAGCCCTGATATTTCTTGGAGGTCTCCCCTCCAAGTGCTTGTCAGGGTCAGCCCTGCTTAGCTTCTGATAGCTTGCCTGGGCTATCCAAGTCAGGACACTTTTATATGCATTTAATTGATCACCTGAAACAAGTGTTTTGTTTGCATGAACACTGCAATCTACATAAGGGAAAAAAATGACACACTACTTTAAATCCATGAGCATCTGCTGACTGTAATCTATGGACTGGCCCTGAGAGATGTGCCCCCCCCCCTCGTCCCTGAAGTGTGATCTCCAGATACACAGAAGTGGTACATTACAATATAGTAGTACTGTATCTGTAGAATAGCAGCCTTGAAGATATTCCTAGCAAGATTTTTTTCATTCCATAAGCTGTCAAATCATAACTATGTGCGGTGCTATATAAAATGGGTCAAAGGGGAGAGAGAACAAGAGGGTAGAAGAAACATGGGTTTCACATTAAGGCTGTGAACAAATTCTAGATGGCCACCTTTCTCCTAGCCACCTTTCACCTGCTTTAAAGAAACGGTCATGCACAGAAATGTAGTGATGGTGAAAACTATTTGTGAGATGTCTGCCTATCATGCAGGTGTTCAATTACACTCCTTTGCCAGGAAGTGAAATGGCCCTGTGAGACGTTATAACATTTCTCACTGCAAGGGGAGGAATATTGAGGTGAGGAAGCAAATAGTTGCAATAAAAATCTGTGTATTAAGGGAAGGACAGATGTCCAGGCATATGTTTGAATATTTACATAAATGTTGTGTTTCTATTTCTTTTCTAGCAAATATTCTGGTGCATCATTATATGTGGATTTGTTTAAACTGGCAAAGGACATATGCAGAAAAAGAATTTTTTCAGAGCGGCCAGCCACACTAATTAAGGAGTTTTTTGTTCCTTTGAAAGAATATTTTAGGACTTTTTAATAAGAAATCCTGAAAGCAGGGCTGCCAACTTTTCAGTGTGTTGCTGTACCTGTGCCTTTAATAAGCTCAATACAGAGACACTAGCAGATGATAATGATTATCTGTATGCTAAGAAATACTTCACCGATGCATCCGTCCATCAAGTGACTCTTACAAGGACAAGAGGAGGTTTCTTTCCCTTTCACTTGGCAATCCCAACTTAAACGTATTTTTGACTGTTGATTGTTTTAATTGCTTTTGCATCAGACAGAGGAATACAAATTCTGTTGTTTCTTTTTTCATGAATATTCATTTTGCCCCTTTTTCATATCATTAACCAAGCTTGGGATAATTTCTTTCTTACTGGTTGGCTTGTCAACATTTTATTTTAGAGATGTTTATTGAGTGGTTTTGTGTCATGTTTGTCCATATGCTGAGGAAATTGCACATCTGACTGTAAGCTTAGGACCTGTGCACATGTTAAGAAGTGCTCCTGTCTCTACGTGGCCACCACAAGACTTGGTGACTAGATATTAAGTGCTCAGAACTTAATTCCAAAGCACCAGCAGGCTTCATTTGGATTGGGACTATGGTAAGCAGGGAAAGGGGATTTAAGCCTTCCCTAACTTGAAACAGCCCCAAATCTACTGATTGCTATACATACCCAGTGGGATAAACAGCAGCTGCCCAGGACACTTTCAGATCGGGAAAATGGTGCAGGGGAGTCTCTGTGCCTTGTGGTCCCAATCTGCTTCAGGCCTCATATACCTGGAAACTAAGTTTGGGACATGAAATTTCCAGACCATGGGAGCTTTGTAACATGTGAACTGGTCCCATGTAAAACTAGAGGCTGCAATTGAAACAACTGCAGTATTACTATATGCAAATAATTTCATGCTCTCAGTAGGAAAAGGTAACATAAAGCTTTAACAAGCACAGACAAGCTTTTACACCAGGTTCCTTAGTACTTGTATATTATGGGAAAATCTGACTTCTGTCCAAGTTGCAATACTTTAATTTTGCTGCTTTTAACCTATTTATACATATTTATAGCAGCATCTTTAATCAGTAAATGCAAGAAAAGTGTGAATGTCATCATGAATCTGAGAGATGATCAGTTTTGTAGCTGCAAAATATTCTCTAAAGACAATGAAAAAGAGGAGATTGGTAAAAGTAGGGAAAATATTGCTTGTCTTTTACAAATAAAAGTTAGTTTATTAGCTGTATTAATCTTCACGGAAAGTGATAGCCTTCATGTTCCTCCTTTCTTTGCTAAGCATGCTTGTTTTCATCAGATCTTCTGATCGTGGATACAATTTCATGTTCAAAACCACATGATTTAGTATCACTTGTGAATTGCTAGATTATGTCCCAGAAAATCCAATCTGAGTTTTAAAATATGTATGTAGAACAAGACAGATACTTTAATAAACCTTTCTATTATGCACAAACCAATTGTACTGGTGAACTAATTTCACACAGAATCACAGTTGTAGATATATATCTCTTGGTATAATCTGTAACATATCAGTCTTGACATATCTCAGTACATATGATGTGTGTTATCTAACTATAGGTTTGGCGTTTCAAATACTGGAGGAGCTATTACAAGGCTTATCTGCACATGTTTATTTTGTTTTGTGTCCTGCCATGGTCTCTGATCGATCTAATATGACACATTTTCATAGAGCTGTGCGGAAAAGCCCTCAACACCCCTCTTCCACCAGTTTTTAAATTTTTTGAACTAAGAAATCTGAATGCAAGCAATTTGCTGCATAGCTCTGTCCCATGAGCACTGGGACACAGCCACAACAGGCAAGAAAGAATTCCCAGTCAGGGGTAATCTTCAGATTGACAGGGAAGGAAGGAATACACTATTTGTCAGATGAGAAAGCAGCAGCAGTCATAATTCAACTGTACACTTAACCTTAAAGTTAAATTACCACCTTCCTGTGAATTATTTTCTGTCAGATCCTATTATGGGGAAAGTATACAATGGGCCCATCAGCCAAAGCTTGCGATCATCAACACAAATATCTTCAAGTAGTGATTTCCAAGCTGTCTGTTGTTCCTCTTCCAAGAACTGGCATGCCTAAATACTCACTGGATCATATAATTTACTGATGACATTATCTGTAGCTGGATCAGTTCTTGGGAATATCCTACACGTCCAGAGCAGTTTTGAAACTTTTAGAACAGGGAAACTTGAATGTACCTGATAGAAGAGGGTTAGAGTCTATGCTTCAACAAATTAGTTACTCTTTTAGGAACCACAAAACTCCTGGGCGGGCAGTCTTCAACAGAATAATTTGGCTACCACTCTGAAAATTAACTGAACTTCTAAAAATCTGTCCAACTAGTGTGTTTAAAAGGGAAGAAAAGAGATTTCATACAAATAGGTGACTCACCAACTTCCTTCATCTAGACAGTTAAAGCAATCTTTTAATCCCTGGAAATCAAAGGGATTGGCTTACATTGGTCTATAAGAAATAGGTACAAGTGCTTTTAGATAGTTGTGTTTGAGACTGAGCACAAGGTCAGCTGTGGGGGAGCCAAATACCCACACAGGGAAGTTCCTATTTTGTGAGGTATTTCTTGTGCAGCTTCCTGTTGTTTGTAGTATGACAGCTATAGAAACTGTCTAGTCTGCTATCATTGGGAATATTTGATTATAAATGGAAATCAAAACAGTCTATTTTTTAAAAAACATACCCAATTATATGGTTACCACTGGAATCATACTTCCCAGAAAGATATCCTGATTCCTTTTGATTTAAGGGAAACTTTTCTTTAATACTGAAACTGATAGTTAGCATGACAAGGAACATCCAGAATGGTTTACTGAACACTCCTTTAAAAATACACACCCAATTATATAGTTACCACTGGAATCATACTTCCCAGAGAGATATCCTGATGCCTTTTGATTTAAGGGACACTTTTCTTTAATACTGAATATTGTGTAGTGGGAAGCCGCATGGATCGACGACAGACAACGACGTGGTGCATAGCACGCTTTATTAGGCACACAACAAGACATGCAGACAAACGGCCGGCAGGCCAACTATATACACACCTGGGGACCACCCCTTGGTCACCATTGGTGGGTTTGAATCTCCCGCCAAGGCTCCCATTGGTTCCCCAGTGGAGGGACTAGGATCCTAGTCCCCATTGTCTTCCCAGACTGAAGCTCGGGTATATGCGCTGACCCCCAGTGGCGGTCAGTGGACACAACACTGAAACTGATAGTTAGCATGACAAGGAGCATCCAGAATGGTTTACTGAACACTCCTTGCAGAACAGACCCCACAGGCACCTTGCTCTACCACAGGAGATGTGGAATTTAAACACCTGGTCTCAGGCCTTCATGAGGGGTTCATTTCACCAGCTTTATTCCACTCCACAAAATTATCAGAATTCATTTTCAGCACCAACACCAGACTATGAATCATAGATAGTCTTATCTGGACCTAGACATCAGTTAAAATGTGACAATATCAATGCATCCACATTAAAATTCATTCAAGGATCTCCAAAACACAGGGGAGGCGGTTCCACAACTTAGGGGGCAACAGGTTCAAAGACCCTCCCACCAGTCTCTACCAATCATACTTCAGATAGCTAGGGTCTCATAGCAACGCTCCTCAACCTGGTAGACCTCAAAACCTGAGCAGGTTCATATGCTTTAAAACATATTTTCATTGGCAAATGCACAATTCAGTTGGTGGCAGAGATACGGCCAGAATTGTCAACAATCTTTGAACACTAAAATCCACACTAAGAAAAGCAGAAGTTTACAAAAAATGGCATTATGGGTTTGGAGGACTGCAAACTAACACCATTCCCATTATTTACTCTGGGTAAAGAATCTAGATTCTGTTTTTTTAAAAATTAGTACAGGAGACACTGAGTACTCAACCTGTCCCAACTTCTTTTTCCCTACCATTTTCAGTAGTTGCTATCTATGGTGCATTGGAAGCTTTCAAAGCTTCAATCAAGGACTGAATATTGACACCACTGCCAGCTGCAAGGGTCATGCTGTCTAAACTGACAGTGCTGATCCACTGTTTGGTCCTGGAAGCAACAAACTCCAGGTGCCAGACATCCACCCTCAAGGGCTACATCTGCTACATCTTTTGCAATGCAGTTTCAGACCTTATAATCTAATATAAATGGTAAAGGAGAAGGAAATCACAGAATATATAGAGATAGAAAATGTATGTACAGTTTCTAGTGCAAAGGACACAGTCCTGAAGATTGTAACAAACTATTTAGTTACTGCACAAAGCACTGATGTAATGTACAAAAATTGATAGGGTGAAAGACATTGGCTTGTATTTACTGGCATACAGATTAATTTAGCAATCAGTTCAGTCTATGTTGTTCAATGTTAAGTTGCTAAAATAAACAGAGAAGATGGGAAATTTTTGAAGCAAAAGCATAGCTGCCTTGGGACAAAACTAGTTATTCCAGTATTCATATCCTTGTTGGCTAAATTGTTGGCTGTGGATAGAGATGAGATTTAACATTAACCCTTTTTTTGCTAACCCTCAAATATCTTCATAAAAACTATATATGAGTTTCTCCTAAGCACTTTCATAGAGTTATTACGTTACTTCCTTATCTAGCTATCATCCAGACCATATTTGGGAATCTTATTTTAAACCAGGGGCGTCAAACACGCAGCCCGTGGGCCAGATCAGGCCCTCGGAGGGCTCCAATCCAACCCGCAATGACCTGACAGTTTCCTGCTTCTTTTTCCAGTTCTGATGCCATGTTGCAGCTTGCTTTACCAGACTCTCTCAATCGCACAGGAGTGAAGGATAGGCAAGCCTCTCCTGTGTGATTGAGAGAGTCTGGTAAAGAACTGGCTGAGGCTCCTCCTCCTTCCAGGTGGAAGGAGGGAACTTGTCAGGCTGCCTCAATCATATGCAAACAAAATGAAGCAGGGCAAAGGCTGACAGAGTTTGGTCAAGAGAACATGCTGGTTGTAGCGAACACCCTCTTCCAACAACCTAAGA